CTAATAGATCAGGAAAATGTTATTATTAAATTAAATTAAAAGCTTTCAAATCACTGATATCAGCGAAGAATTTGACTTTCCATATCCAGAAAGTAATCATCTATACGATTGAATATATTCTATCATTGATTCACTAAGCTGCGAAATCAGTTCAGTAATACTATCTTCGATAGTAGATGATGGCAATTTTTTTCAATTTCAAATCTTCTTTCCACACGCATTATCAACCGTGATAAATTAGTATTGGTTATTTTTTTCCTAGCAAGTTGTCCACAAAAAAAGAAAATATGATTATTTTAATGCTATATTCAAATCAACTACCGGTATTTCGTAATCTATAAATTATTTATCATAGATGCCTTTGCCTCTGGCAATCTTGTTATTTACTCTTTACTGTTAAAATCTCAGCGAATAAAATGATTCTAACATTAGTATCAATCTATTTCTGAAGTTAAAATAGAGGCTAACAACGCTCAAACGCTTGCTTTCACAATGATCTGAAAAATCATGCCAAATTTGACTTGAATGGTTATTTTCATGTCATATTTTTACTTTTGTCATAAGTTTAAATCATCATAATTTATTTTCTTTCTACATTATATGATTCTGATTGTTTTGAGAAAAGAAAATCATCCGATTAGTTTTGATAAAATTGATTCATTCTCTTATGCCGATATTTGCTTTTCTCAAGAAGTCACACTAACTACGCCGTTTGTCCTACAAGATTGTCGATTTTGTAAAACTAAAACAATCATAATTATAGTTACCTTATTACTCTCACATTTTTCTCTTATAATGATTTCGAATGTTTAGCAGCAAGAAAAATCACTTAAATTAATATTTCCAGAAAAGCCAAATCTTGTGACCATCCGTGTTTCATAGAATGCAAAAATTTGCATTCATTTTATACAAAAAATGATTTTAGCGAAAGGTGTCAACGTGTAAGTGGAAGGTACACATTTTTTTTCGATCATCCAAGCCCACACATTAATTTGGCACCACATTCTATATGAGCAGTTTAACTAGAGTGTTCGAAATTATGTGCGATAGATGTCGGTGGATAACTGTTTGCATTCCTCATGAGTTCTGTTCCAATTTGAAGTAAAGTAAATAACATCATGAATTGCAACATGAGTCATCTGTTATCATGATTCATTCGTCTCCATCTCAATGATACCCACATCGTAAGTATGAAAGGAACCCTTACGGACTTTTTATCCTTGCAATTTTCTTCCTTTGATCTCAAGCGGCTTGAATGACAAACAAAACAGTTCAAATAATATATTTCGTATCAAGCGAAAATCGAAAAAAATCAGACAAGAACATCTTAAACTAGAACTCACAGAAACAACACAAAGTGTGAACGAAAACTTACTAACTGGTGACGCATCGATGCCTTTACGAAATACTTCAACGACGCATCACAAAAAGTACGATATAAACAAAATATTTATACCACATATTAATGATCACGTAATTGTTAATAAATTTCTTTTCTCTTTAGTCGAATATCTATTGAATCCATTCGTTTATGGTTTCGTTTATTTGTTGCAAATGATCTAACTATCCTCTGTGTTCTATTCTTATGGTTTGCCATAAATATAGCTTTGTTTATTGGACAGTTCTTGAATTATCATCACTCTCGACCATACTATTATTTACGTGCGTTAATATCTGATGGCTTAAGTGTTGCACGAGCAGCAGCACTCTGTTTAAATTTCAATTGCTTTTTAATTCTTCTACCTGTCTGTCGGAATTTACTTTCATTCATACGAATTATTTTGCCGCATTGCATAGCAAAAACAAGGTTTCGTCGTGTTACAAAACGTCTATTTGATCAAAATATCGGTTTTCATCGATGTGTTGGCTATGCAATATGTTTCTGGTCTATAATACATGTCGGAGCACATGTTTATAATTATGA